CCCGTCCCGGGGGCCCCGGGCTCCCTGGGAGAGGGGACGGGATGCGAACTGGATGCCGACAGCGTGGTGGTGGCGGCGTCCTCGGGGCTCCGTGCTCGTGAGGGTTGTTCCTGCTGCTGGCAGGGCCGGTTCCCGTTTCGGGGTCCAGGGTGTGGCTGAGATCACCGCAGGGTTTGGAAGGAAGGTATAGGTAAATTGGCCATGATTTTAAATTAGCATCTCGGAGCATAAATTTCATAGTAGTTTGGGCTATTCTAATAATGCAAACTATTCCAGTACGTTTTATTTCTGAAAAGGAAACACTTGTTTCTGTATGATGTCAGTTACTTGCACTTTCTTTTCTCTTTTTGCGACTCCACTGTAACCTGTCTTTTTTATTTTAAATTAGTCTTACAGGTCAGCCTTGTTTCCAAAGAAATGAAGGTTCACGAGTGCACTGTTCACAGCTCCAGCCATCCTTCTGCCATCTCCCCAAACTGTTCCCACTGCCCCCATTTTAAATTTCTTGGCCAGTGCTAGCTGAGTTTAGTAGATGGGCATTTAAAAATATATAAAGTTGCTGCAGATTTCCTGAAAACCTCAGTTTAAGGACAACAGGGACATCCAGTTGAGTTGCCCGACAGAAATGTCACTAGATGAGTTCTGCATTATTAGACACCAGAGAGCAGAGAGAGGCAGGGTTGGAGGCATTATTCCATTCCCATGAAGAATGTCAGCTGGGACTCTCATCTCACCACATCTAGCTACTTGAGCCGTGAGACACAAAGTCATGGGAAGCTGGCCTTAATAAGTTCTGCTGCTTAGAGAACTGCTTGTTAAGTACTTGAAAGATGCTCAGATGCTGTTGTGAGAGGGGGGGAAAAAAACAGAGAGGAACTTTGTTGCATTAGTTTTCAAATAGCTTTTCTGAAACTTACATGTCTGGAAAAAGTCAAGTTTTAAGTTCACTAGTGTGGCTCTGTGTAGTTATGTAGATTCGTACATACAAATCCAGTGATAAGGTGTAATCTTGCTTCAGTGTTCTGGGGAAATACATATATACAAAATGATATGCAGAATGAACACCAGTAGAGAAGAAACATACTGCCTAACTTTTTAAAATTATATCTTTTATAGTACAAAGTATCCCCAAATATAAATTTATTAGCCTCTTTTTATTGGTAAAGCCAGTACAAGTGCCTTCAAGTAAGAAATGAGTAGAGAAAAAGAGTGCGTGTATCTGCAGAGTGCTGCTGACACCTGCGTTCTAACTTTCATTTTCAAAATAATTCCAA